AGCTTCATTATAACTAATAAGTCAAATATTATACATAAGGATCAATATTATTAATACCAAACATCAATATAGATGCTATAAAGGGATGTAAATGTTTATCCATATCAGTTTTCACGTTAGGATCACCTGGGTCCACTCCACCAATTAAATTGGAATCTTTGGGGCCTTGACACTGATAAATTCTAACTCCCTTCTAATGTGAAGCCTGAGCTATCTGTGCCTGTTCTTTTACTTTTGACCAGTCTGAGTTGTTTTAGCTGTGGGTCTTGTCCCAAAATGAGGGCTGTATTTTACTGCTGTTGGGTGCCATTTGGTCAATTCCGACTCATAGCAACCCCATGTGACAGAGTAGTACTGCCCCCAAAGGGTCTTCTTGGCTGTAATCTTTATGGAAACAGATTGCCAGGTCTTTCTTCCACGGAGCCACTGAGTGAGTTTTAACCACCAACCTTTCAGTTAGCAGCCAAGCACTTAACCATTGCTCCACAGATTAACTTGTATAAATGTATGGTCGTAAATGATGTCTTTTCTCTCTTTTAGCATCTTACCCTCTTTGTGCTTCCTTGCTGTTTCCTTTGAATTCCACTTTTTTGCCTAAATTGACTGCTTTGCCTTTTCCTGTTTGGTAATTTTGAAGATAAACTATTTCATATTCTATTAGTAATTACACTTAACAGCTTTAAAAACATACTCTAACCTATATTTCTCTAATTAACCACAGAAACTATAACAGATTTCTCACAAGACGAGGAAATGAGCATATCTCTTTGCTTCAGCTTTATTGTTTATATCAGTATAATCTGGAGATTTTTACCCTCAAGTATGGACAGAAATGGTATTCTTATATCAGTCTTCTCAGGAATATTTATTATACTTGCATTCCGTTTTTATAACTATGTTTATAGCAATTATTTAGATTTATTACTGTACTGGTTTTTATGCTTACCTCCAATCTTTTCCATTTTTTATTCACCACAACTTTCCCATACTAGAGGTCTTCATTTTGATTCATCTCTTGGTTGGATAGAGAATATCTCCAAATGGTTTTTCAGGAATGTTATGTGGATAGTTTACTTTCTGAGGACTTTCATATTTGAGAGCAGCTTTCTGTTGTCTTTGCTGTTTAATGACTTGGCTAGAACACACCCTTTTCTGCTTTGAATTATTTAGGGAAGCATCTGTACTATGTCGGAGATAAATGTGTTGAAAGCCATGGCACAGTATTTTCCCCTAGTTTCCAGAGCTGACACAAGTGTTTACCTATTTTACAAGCTTCGGTCAATTCTGTTGGTTGTGGGTTGACTGAGGATGGGAGTATGAGGCACATTTGTTCAAGCTGCCATCTTTCTGGGTGATATCAAGCGTTAGATATTCATTGATTTATTCAACACATATTGATTGAACACCTGCAGTGTACCAGGCATTATGGGAGCCATTAGGGATTCAGAGGTGATTAAACACAGTAGATTTCTGCTCTCATGGAGTGTATTTGTATGTTGGAGAGTGGGAGGGACAATCCATATCAACAAAACAGATGAACAAGATAATTTTAAAGTGATAAAGAGAACTGCTGCATAACAGCTGCTCAAATTCAAAAATGGCGCCCTGGAGCTGTACAACATGACAACCCTGGAAAAAGACTATGAAGACGTGGATGCCCATTCAGTGTCACCCCATGAGGGATGAGGGTAGGGACCCAGGTGATGTTAATAAAATTCTCTGCAACAGGTCCATTTGTTTGCATGTTTATGTTGCCCCGGTCATTATCTTCCTTCTGGAACTGTAGGGTTTGTCTTTGTCTTCAGTCTGCCTTGGTGTGTTGTTCTACTGGTAGACACATCTCATGATTTGCCTCCTTTTGCCTTCAAGATAGTTGGCTTTGAATTATGGTTCCTCATTATTTCCATTATGCTTTCACTGGACTCCCACAAAGCTGGAGATGGGATGACGTTGTATGAGCCTCTGTGTCCAGCCCGGAGCCCCCACTTCAGTGCTGATGTCATCTGGGGTTGACAGATGGATCTTTGGCAAATTCTAGAAACACCTCCAAGTATTCTGCTTTCAAACTTAGGACCAGCGAACAGTACTGTTCTCATACTGGGACATATTTTGGAGAGTGGGTAGGAGCTTGGTCCTTGGAGTCAGACTGCAGATTTGAATTTGGCTCTACCATTTACTAGCTGTGTGACCCTGGCAAGTTACTTAATCTGTCTGCATCTCAGTGTCTTCATCTTTAAATGGGGTTAATAAAGGTACCTACCTCAGGGTGTTCATGTGACATTTAAATGGGGTAATTGATAAAAAGTGCTTAGAGCATTGCCTGCATTTAGTAACCCTCAATACGTATATAATAATAGTTACTATTAACTCTATCTTGTGTTGCCTAAAAGCTTTTTTGTGTCCTTCTCTCCTCTTGGCTCAAACTCTTCTATACTTATTAGGTACAGGATTACCAGAATAAGACTGACTATGGCTTAGGACCCTTAGGAACCAGGCTCACTTCGCTGAATTTGCTGGGAGAGCGTTCAGCGGTAGTTTGGAAAAGAAATACCTAACACAGAAAAGGCGAAGAAGGGTGGAGACGGGGGAGTCAGGAGGAAACTCACAAGAGTTACCAATTCCTTTATTTTGTTGTGGGTGTGTTTTGTTTTATTTTGTTTTGCAAACATGACTTTATTATTACTTTTCATAGTAGCTTCATTATAAATAATAAGTCAAATATTATACGTAAGGATCAATATTATTAATACCAAACATCAATATAGATGTTATAAAGGGATGTAAATGTTTATCCATATCAGTTTTCACTTTATACTTTTATATATTAAATTTTTTTTAGAATAAGCCTATATTATTTTTTCATTTTGAAAAAAGTATCACCCAGAAACCCACTACTACCCTAATATGATTTTTATTTTTTGGCTCATGTCCAGTTTTTATGCATATATAAACAAACATTTAATAGCTATAATCAAAAGTATACATATAATTTTGTGATCTGCTATTTTACTTAAAATGATTTTTAACACTCCTCTTTCTACAGGGTCATATTTATCACTTTAACGATTGCATTTAAACTGCATCACATTAAATACTGTAATTTCCCTCACATTGTCGGGCATACATATAAGTTGTTCACAGTTTTTTGCTGCAGTAAAATTACATCACTGTAAACATCTTTGTCCATGTGGCTTTTCTTCTTTTGAATTAATTCCTAGAGATTATTGAGTTAGAATATTTGAATAGTTTCATGACTCTTAATAATTTGTATACTCCCTTCCAAAAAGATTACATCAGCTTTACCCTGCAGCTAGCCATGAATGAACATACTAGTCTCCATGAAGCCTCAACAGTGTTGGGTTTTCTGTTTGTCTGTTTTTTTGGGTTTTTTTTTCCTATATTTTTTTCCTAGTGAAATGGACTGTTTCTCATATTAATTTTATTATCTCTCATATGAATCTTCTGGTCATACTCTTAGCCCATGTAACTATTGAGGTCTTGGTGATGTTTTCATACAATTATAAAAGCTCTTAATTCAATATTGATATTTGCCCTTTGTCATATTTGTTGCAATTATTTTTCCATTCTATTATTTTTCTTTTTAATTTTAGTTTCGTTTTTGTTTGTTGATTTTTCTATAGACAGCAATTTAGATCACTTTCTTGCCTAGTCCCTATTACAGGGCCTGTCAGTAATTAGCATGAAAAGACTATAAAATAAAGGATTTCAGAGGAGTTAACCCTTAGGTAAAGTAGAAGAGCAGCGACAGGAAGTGGGCAGGGCACAGGATGAGGTCTTTAAAAGCTTTAAAACTTCGGTCTAGGAAAGGTCGGGCTTACCTAGCACCTCCTTAGCATAGCTTTATAGCTTGAGGTTTGTAGAATTCCTATGGCATGCCTACAGTTTCCCCACCAGAATCCTTTAACGGAGAGAAATGATCTGGGAATAGCTCCACCCTGGTTACTCCTATGGTGGTGGCCGCAGCTGTGGCAGCAGCCATTACGGTGGTGGTGCTGGTGGCAGAGGCAGTGGTGGCAGTGGTGACAGTGGTGATGGTGGTGGTGGTGACGGTGATGGTGGTGATGATGGTGGCAGTGGAGGCTGTGGCAGCGGTGGTGGCGGTGGTGGTGGCGATGGCCGTGACGGTGCTGATAGTGGTGGCGGTGGCGGTGGTGGTGGTAGCCATGGTGGCGGTGGTGGCAATGATGATGGTTGTGGCAGTGGCGATGGTAGCAGTGATGGCAGTGGTGGTGGTGGTGGTGGTGGCGGCAGTGGTGGTGATGGTGGTGGCGGCGGCAGTGGTGGTGATGGTGGTGGCGGCAGCGGTGGTGGCAATGGTGGCAGTGGTGGTGGTGGCGGCAGCGGTGGCAGCTGTGGTGGCGGTGGTGATGGTGGTGACAGCAGTAGTGGCAGGGGCACTGATGATGGTGGTGGTGGCAATGGTGGTGGCAATGGTGGTGACTGGTGGTGAGCGCAGTGGTGGTGGTGGCAGTGGTGGCAGGGATGGTTGTGGTGGCGGTAGCAGTGGTGGTGTGTGCATAATCCTCTGCACCGAGAGTCAGAAATACCCTCAACTGAGAGACTTTCTTCTGAGTTAAGCAATGCCTGCTCCTGCTGCTGCATACCAAGCCGAGAGGGATCATGTCCTGGCATTCTACACTTAAGCTCGGATGCTGATTTGTCCCCAACACAAGGGACCACAGAGCATGCAGTCACTGGCTGGGGTGAGCACACTGCCAGAGGGAAAGGGGGCCAAAAGAAGACAAACTCCACCGTGTCTGCTGTTTGCCAAGGGGACCCTCCCCAAGGCTCTGCCCAGCATGGAGCCAGCATATTTCCTGCCTAGAGCTCCAAGCCCAGCCAGTCCAGCCCAACCCTGTGTCACCCTTTCTTTCTTTCTGTTGTTCTTAAGACTAAAAGAACTGTCCCCCTGCCAGCCCTCAGTGGCCCCGGCAGAGTGCCGGGGACTCCTAATGACCTCCACTGCTCTTCTCTTGCAGTTTCCTGCTTCTTCAACTTCACCAGCCCCTCTGGGGTCGTCCTGTCCCCCAACTACCCAGAGGACTACGGCAACCACCTGCATTGCGTCTGGCTCATCCTGGCCCGGCCCGAGAGCCGGATCCACCTGGCCTTCAATGACATCGACGTGGAGCCGCAGTTTGATTTCCTGGTCATCAAGGACGGGGCCACAGCTGAGGCCCCAGTGCTAGGCACTTTCTCAGGAAACCAGCTCCCCTCCTCCATCACCAGCAGTGGCCATGTGGCCCGTCTCGAGTTCCAGACTGACCACTCCACAGGGAAGCGGGGCTTCAACATCACCTTTACCAGTGAGTCCTCCCTCTGTCTCCAGCTGACCATCCCTCTGAGCGTTGGCCTCCAGGATGGTTGAGGGTGTTCCTGGGAGGAGTGTTGATGGGGTGGACCAGTCCAAGGACATTGCTGGGCTGCAGTGCTCAGGCAGGGAGTTCCCAATGTGACCACAAAAAAGCATGTGGCTCTGGCCACTGGACTGGGTGTGCTTTTCTATGCAGTCACTCTTTGGAGCATTTATTTCCCATAGATGTGACAGATACTGTACAGGAGCCTGATCCTCAGCTTTCTTTCTCATGCTCTCCCTCCTAGAAGGCCCAGCTATAACCAGAGAGGGACCAGGGGAAAGAAAGCCTCTGTCATCTCTCATTCACTCCTGATTCCCTCTCTGACATGCTCCTCCAAATCCCCGATTGCCTACTGACTGATGGCTTCTGGTTTTCTTGATGGAATTGCTTTGCCGGACTCCCATTCTCCATAGTCAAATCAGAAACAGTGTTTCTGTTTGGCTCCAAGACTTATTGGAGCCAACTCTTAAGATATTTCCTCATAGCCTCTCCCAGGCCACAGACTGAAATTTGTACCTCCAGTTTCAATCCTGGGCACCCTTTTCTAGAAGCCACCTGAAGCTCAGCAGTGATTGTTTTCATTCTGTGTCTCATAGGGTTACAGTAGGGGTGGGATGGAGAAGAGGCTTGGAGACTAGAAATAGCAAGGAGCCAAAGGTAGCAAGAATTGGTTATCAGACCATAATAAGCCACAAGCCCTGTGAGTTTGGCCAAGGACAAATGGCAGTGGGGATGAAGCTGGGTCTGCCTGAGAAATTAGCCAGATTGATTTCCAGAGGATCCATTTCCAGAGGCTGCTTGTGAAATGTTGTTGTTGTTATTAGCTGCTGTTGAGTTGACCCCCAACTCACAGTGACCTTGTGCACAATGGAATGAAATGCTACCTGGTCCGGTACCATCTCCATGGTCTGTTACCGATTGGACCATTGTGCTCCATAGGGTTTTCACTGGCTGATTTTTGGAAGCAGATCACCAAGCCTTTCTTCCTAGTCTTGTCTTAGTCTGGAAGCTCTGCTGAAACCTGTTTAGTGTCATGACAATACACAAACCACCACCGACAGAGGGTGGTGGCTGCATATGAGGTGCATTGGCCAGGAATTGAACCAGGTCTCCCACATGAAAGGTGAGAATTCTACCACTATACCACCACTGCCACCGTTGTGAAATGAAAGCCTTCAATACAAGCTCCACCCACAAATGGACACAGAGAGCTCTTCCATCTAGTACTTTTGGACAAAATGGATCTCCTCCCAACACCTCCCACCCCCCGCCAACCCTTGACATAGAAGCCTTGTCTCCCTGTTTCACCTATCCCTGGGGTCCAGTTGGGCTGGAGACAATAAGTGCTAAGTGGTGGGTCATTTGGGGCCCCTGATTCCCACTGACCACCCACAGAAAAGCCCTTCCTTGGTGGTTCTCCTCACCAGCCTTCAGAATGCTTACACATCCTTCGCAAAGGGGCATGCCTCCTCCGTTCCCATCATCATATAGGCAGAAGAAAGTGGAACCAAGTTCTGTCTGTCTCAGCCTTCCTAGTATGAAAGCACCAATAATGTTGGTTTTTAGCTTATCTCTTCTCATCTCTGCTTTTCCCATGAGATCATGAGCTCTGCAATGGTGGAGGTATATCTTACTTACCTTTCTATCCCCTCTGCCCAGCACATGGTCAGTACGTGTTTATTGAGTGGAAGCATCCATGAATGACTAAATGCTCTTCCTGCGCTGTGATGTGAGTGGACAGAAGAACGAGGGTAACAGGCATCCCAGGGAAGCCCATTTATCCAGGGTGGTGAGGGCTGAGAACTCCGCAGGTTCAAAGACACTGCAGGGGGACTTGGGGCAAAAATGCATACTCATGACCTCCTAGGAAAATCAGATCCTATTAAAGCCCCCGCTCTCCAGAAAAGAAACAAATACTGAGTCCCTGGGAGGAAGAGGCAGAAGAAATCCAGAGAGTGCACTTCACTTTGAGGGCAGTGGACTTGACCTAAGGGTTGAGCTCTTATTTACCATTTCTTTCCAAGTTTTCCCCATCTTATAAAAGTGCTGTTGTTGTTGTTAGTTGCCATTGAGTCATCTTCAACTCCTGGCAACCTTATGTGTAACAGAATGAAATGTTGCCTGGTCCTGCACCATCTTAATGATCGTTGGTATGTTTGAGTCCATTGTTGTGGGTATTGCGTCAATCTATCTCATTTTCACTGACCCTCTACTTTACCAAACATGATGTCTTTTTCTAGTGATTGGTGATGCATATCCAATGTCAGAATACTCAAAAAACAGAGAACAAGACAAAGAAGAAACTTTAAATACCTCCCAAAATCCTGCTACACAGAAATGGCTCTTGGTAACATTTGGTGAACACTACTACAGATATTGGGGGGCCCTGGTGGCTCAGTGGTTAAGCACTCAGTTGCTAACAGAAAGGTCGGCATTTCAAACCCACCAGCCGTTCCACGGGAGAAAGATGTGGCGGTCTGCTTCTGTAAAGATTTCAGCCTAGGAAACCCTATGGGGCAGTTCTACTCTGTCCTATAGGGTTGCTATGGCTTGGAATAGACTCTACAGCAGTGGGTTTGGTTTATTGGTTTTTTACGTTGATTTGAAATCTTTGTCTCTATAACTAGCATCAGTAATCCTGTATGCACCTCTAGAACTCCTTGACATAAACCTAATCCTTCTTCCACGTGGAACATTTTGGATAATGATAATAGTAAACCAGTAGCCATCTAGTCAACTCCAACGCATAGCAACCCCATATGTGTCAAGATAGAACTGTGCTCCATAAGATTTTCAGTGGCTGATTTTTCAGAAGTAGAACAACAGGCCTTTCTTCCAAGGTGCCTCTGGGTGGACTCAGACCTCCAACCTTTCAGTTAGCAGACGAGCATGTTAACTGTTTGCACCATCCATGGACTCCTAATGATGATAGTAGCTACCTTTTACTGAGCACCTATTGTGTGCCAGACCCTGTGTTGAGCACTTTACAGTTGTCACCAGTAGCCTCAAACCAAAATCTCCATAAACTATGAAATATCCCTGTTCATAGACCAGGAAACTGAAGTTTGGAAAGGTTCACAGGTAGAAGTGGGCAATATTTAAGTCCTTAACTTAGAGCTTTTCTCCTAGATGTGTGAAATAAACCCCGTAACCCTGCTCTGTGTGTGTGTGTGTGTCTGTGTGTGTCAGTGTGTGTGTGTGTCTCTGTGTGTGTGTGTGTGTGTGTGTGTGTCTCTGTGTGTGTGTGTGTGTGTGTGTGTGTCTGTGTGTCTGATAGGTTTTTGGATAGACAAAACTTGGACTTTTCTTCCCATACCGTATTTCTAAATGTCAAGGTGATGTCATGGTCATAGTTCCTGCTGAAGAAAGGTTGTGAGACTGAAGTCCAGGCTGACCTAGACTTTGCTCTTCACAATCATCTCCATGCCAGAAACTCCCACAGCTCATGCTCAGTAGGGAGGATCATCAGGTTTGCAGGCCTCTTGCCTCCAGCAAGATCAGCAGCCTCCACCGCTGCTTCTGTTTCTGACTGCGCAAGTGTTTCAATCACTAGGGAATTTCAAAGGCTCGTAAATTGGACTCTTGAATCTGGCACATGTTTGTGCAGCCATGGAGCCTGGCCTCCACTGGACAGCCACCATCTTGCAAACAACAGGGATGTACATAGGACCTGACCGGTCCCTGGGTTGGTAGCGCAAATGTTTGCACTCAGCTACTAACCAAAAGATTGGTGGTTTGAACTCACCTGGCCATGCTGAGGAAGGAAGGGCTGGCAATCTCTCATAAAGATTATGGCCAAGAAAACCCTATGGAGCTCAGTTCTACTGTGTAATACATGGGGTCACGATGAGTCAGGATTGACTCGAAGGCAATATGTTTGGTTTGGGTTTCCGTTTAGTGCCACAACTATGGCATCATGATGGAGGAAGGCTGGGAACGTGCTTGGTGGGCATGGAGTAGGAAAGGTATCTTTCCATGTGGGGAAGGGAGGAAGGAAAGGAACTCATCCCCAGTGAGGGCTTATTGCCTGCCATGTGCTGTAGCAGATGCTCACCACTTTCATATTCATATCAACTTTAACTTTATTTACATCTCAAAATGACCCAGTAATTGAAGTATAATTTTATAGGTTAGGAAACTGAGGCTCAGCAAGGTTACATAAGCTTCCCAGGGCCATGTCACTAATCAGAGGCAAAGCTGATTAAACTCACAGCGTTCTGGCCCTTTCCTCTCCCCTCTCACTGCATTATCAGTTGCCAGGGCAGAGTGAGAGACAAGGAAACGAAGGGAATGGCTTCAGACAGGGTTAATTCCAGGGCACCTACTTTATGATTCTGAGTGTTTATTAGTGTCAGAGGATTTAGAGTCCTGCTCACCTGCAGCATAAATGATCCCCTTTAACTGTCTGAAGTTAGGGAAGCGTGGAATGGATTTGACATTGGCGAGACAGATCTGCTCCTTAGTCACATTGAGCCTCGCTTTCCTCATTTGTAAACTGGGGTAATAATATCTATCTCATGGAACCATTACATGGTATAAATAAGCTAACATGAGAAACACTCAGCTCACTGCCTGATCTATAAATGTTCATTAGATTGACATTGAATTAGATGCTCAGGAAAGCAGAAGATCGGGTTTAACAAGCACCTGCTTTTTGCCCAGGAGCACCTGGAGAGTCCAAACAGTTAACGGACTCAGCAGCTGAAAGAAAAGTTGGAGGTTTGTGTCCACCAGAGGCACCTTGGCAGAAAGACCTAGCGATCTACTTCTGAAAAATCAGCCACTGAAAACCCAATTGAGCACAGTTCTACTGACACGTGAGGTTGCCATGAGTCGAAATCAACTAGATGGCAACAGTTTGGGGTTCTGTTTCTCTTTGTTTTTGGCTTTCTGCCCGATGTGGCGCATCGGTCCTAACCCCAGGGTTCCTGCTCCTAAGGTATCTAGCTCTCCCTCCAGCATGGTAGGTTCTTGGGGGAAGTCGGGGCAGTGTAGGTTTGTCCATGATAATGAAGCCTGTTTTCTCCGGGGGTCCCCACACCAGCTCTGACTAATCATGCCCTTGACCCTTATCCATACAGCATTCCGACACAACGAGTGCCCGGATCCTGGTGTTCCAGTGAACGGCAAACGGTTTGGGGACAGCCTTCAGCTGGGCAGCTCCATCTCTTTCCTCTGTGATGAAGGCTTCCTGGGGACCCAGGGCTCAGAGACCATCACCTGCATCCTGAAGGAGGGCAGCGTGGTGTGGAACAGCGCCGTGCTGCGATGCGAAGGTACGAGCCTGCTGGGCTGGGATCCGTTTTGGTATTCATTCTTCCTCTTCTCCCAGAACCCAAGGCCACTCTCTCACTTTTACACCGTTCCAACAGGGGCTTTATATAACCACTTTGCATAGGATTTGAATTGTAACCAGAGATTAAACCTGGAGAAATGCTGGTTCTGGAATGTCAGGCATCAAAAACACGTCTTCTTTCAAGCTGGGAGCCTTCCCAATATCACAGCCATTAGGAGCCCTGCTTCCGGCTTCTGCCCAGGGGAGCTCCATCAGCCCCAGCAGCCTTGGCAGTGCTGGGAGCTTTTCAGGCTGCCTAGCACTCTTCCCTTCTGCACATGCTAATTCTCCCCTGTTCCCTGGGACATCTCCCAAGCTCGGCCTTTGTGCCCATGTTAAATGCTGCCTTGATATCCTCACATCAGTGTCCAGGAGGCGAAGGGCAGACCAGCCAGAAGAAGCACAGCTTGACATGCGTGGGAGGTTCATTATGCCATCTACTCAGTCTGCCTCGCCACACAGCATGGTTCCTGCCTCAATTTCAGACAGCAGCCATCTGTTCCACCAAGCGGCAGGCATTTTTAACACAGATTAAGCTTCTTGAGGGTAGGAATCATGTCAAATTTGTATACTAGCATTGTGCTTGGCACAGAAGAGCTGCTAAATCAGTATTTGTGAATAATGGGTGGACAGTCAATACCCCCCAGGCCTTCTGGGGCAGAGATGTGGCCTTTCAGGAGCCAGATAGCATCTTCCTCTCATCTCATGTGATAGACAAAGGGTGGAGACCTAAGAGACCTCCCGACTTAACCTTTTCCAACCCCAAATCTTACACACTGGCCAGCAAGCGGGAAGGACAGGGGAATGGATGAGGAAGCGAGTGTGCCATAGAGCAAGCACCGCCCCAGAGCTGACAGGTGGGTGGATGAGAGAGGACAGACCACCAAGGACACACAGCACATCCCCACCAGCAAAGAGGTCCAGGGTCGAGGTGGGCTTTCGCTTCAGAGGGGCCTTGGCTGGAATCCTGGCTCTGCCACTTACCTGGAAAAGTTGCTTTGTCCCTCTGAGGCTCTGTCTTTTTGGCCAGAAAAAAAGATACAATAATAAGATACATAAGTAAAGTGCAGATCGTGGCCCAGAGTACTCGTGAATGTTAGCTGTGCTCTCACTGAGGTTGGGGATCTTCCTGGACCTCATATCCCCCATATCTGGCGTGTAGTTTGGCACTTGGGCAACGCTCAGTAAATACTGGTTGATGAATCATGAATGAGTGCATGAATAAAGACATGAATGAATGAACTAGGCTAGAGCTTCCCTAATGAGCAACATGTCAATGAAAGGCCTGACGCTAGCCAGACTGCCTGCTCCACATCCCTGTGACTTACCAGCTGAGTCACAGAGGGCAAGGGACTTGACCTCTCTGTGCTTCGGTTGCCCTGTCTGTGAAATTCAGAATAATGCCGGTGACCTCTTCACAGAGTTGTCATGAGGATGCATGGCCCTTGGATCAGTGCCTGACATGGAGGTAGAGCTCTGTAAGGATTAGCTGTTAGCATTATTTTAACTTGATTTTAACCATTTCTTCATCAGACCAATCAGATTTGCATATTCTCCACTTTAGGGGATCAAATGATGAGTCTCGTTCCTTCCAGTTGCCCACCCCAACCATGAAAAGAATAGATTTTCCTTCTGTCCTCCAAGGCCACCACAATGTGGTCCACACAACCTCATCTGCCATTCTTCCCCAGCACAGTCAGCGCTTTTGGAAATGAAACAGCTTAGGAGTCAGAGTAACCACGTGAAGCTCATGGCTTCACCCCTTCCCAGCTGCAGAACTGATAGATTACGTCACACCCTGGACCTCGGCTCCCTGATCTGCAGAAGGGGATCATCACACTTGCTGGTGGAGCTGTTTGCAGGTGAAACAAGGTGGCCGTGCAAAGCAGCCCGCCAGGGCCCAGGGTCTGGAGGGCTGCCAGTCAGGCTGGTTTACCTCTCTTCACCTCTCCTTCGGGCTGCCCCTCATTCTTTCCTTGCACCCGTCAGTCTCCTCTGATTTCTTTGGTTTTCCTCATGTCAATCCATCTCGTCCAGGACATCTTCCCTATCTCCAGCGCATCTGGTCTCTGCCTTCTCCTAATTCCTATTCTTTTCATGGGCACTTTAGTGGAGATTTCCTCTTAGCATCATCAGAGTCCCTGTGTGGTGCAGATGGTTGATGTACTCGGCTGCTAACTGAAATGTTGGCAGTTTGAGTCCACCCAGAGACACCTCAGAAGAAAGGCCTGGCAATCTACTTCTAAAATATCAGCCATTGAAAACCCTATGGAGAGCAGTTTACTCTGACACACATGGGGTCACCATGAATCAGAATTAACTCGATGACAACTGGTTTGGTTTTGTTTTCTACCAGCATTACATTTGTCTTTACCAGTTCCATGGGCCTTGGTCCTATCTTCCCACCAAGACGGTGGGCAGTTCCAGGGCCGAAGCCCAGACCCCAGGTGCCCCGGGACTAGATCTAAGGGGCTCAGTCCCAACGGAGCTGACCCCGCTGAAAATCCCCCTCCCTCTCCTCCTCATCTCTCCACCCCCTGCCCTCCTGAATCAAGGGTTCCCAGACCATAGTTCAGCAGGTACAGTGAAACGTTCATGACCACGTGTGAGTGAGAGAGCCCGCGAGAATTTGACCTCTGATAGTGGATTTTAAAGCAGCTGTCACTATTTCATAGTGTGGGGGAAATGGAATTAAATTAAAAGTCCTAATTGGGATATTAAAACTGTCTTATTCATTCTGTCCCTAGAGGGGGAAGCACAGTACGTTTTGGAGCAACAGGCTACCAGAAATAAGGGACAGCCTGTTGGAGACCCTAACTTGGCATGGGGAGAATCTCTCTCTGTTTTCAGAGTGATGGGCATTTGATGAGAGCCAGATGCTACCTAGGGTAGCTGGGAGGGGGAAAAGAACAGTTGTCGTCGAGTCAGTTTTGACTCATGGTGACCCTGCCATGTGTGTCAGAGTGGACTGTGCTCCATAGAGTTTTCAATGACTGATTATTCAGAAGCAGATTGCCAAGCCTTTCTCCTGAGACACCTCTGGGTGGACTCAAACCTCCAACCTTTCAATTAGAACCCAAGTATGTTTGCATCACCCGGGGACTCCAAAATAGAGAAACCTCCCGGGACTCTGCCCCTCTTTGGCCCTTTTCCCTGTTCATGCCCAAACCTTGAGAGATCCCTGCTTTGTAATCAGCATCTTTGTCTTTTCCATTTTTTCTAGTTTTGTTTTTGATTAAGTGTCCCCACCTTGTGGACAATTAAATGCTAATGGTCTTTTTAAAAATCTTTTAATATATGCTAAGAGCCACTTAGCTTTTGAGAGGCTATAATGGGACAAGGGGGAAATGGCTGCTTCTCCTAAATTTAGAAAGAAGGATGATGATCTGGGTGATCAAAAGCAGAGGTCTCGAACCTTCTTCTAAAAGGACAGATGGGAAGTATTTTCAGCTCTGCGGACCATAAGGTCTCTGCTCAGCTCTGCCATTGTAACACGAAAGCAGCCTTAGACTATGCACAAATGAATGGGCCTGAATTGGCCCGAGGGCTGTAGTTCACCAGCCTGGGAGCAATGGTAGTTCAGCGGTAGAGTTCTTGCCTTCCATGAAGGTCTTAAGACCAGGGTTCACTCCCCAGCCAATGCACCTCATGTGCAGCCACCACTTGTCCATCAGTAGAGGCTTGCATGTTGCTATGATGCTGAACAGTTTCCAGCGGAGCTTCCAGACTAAGACAGGCTAGGAAGAAAGACCTGGAGATCTACTTCTGAAAAATCAGCCAATGAAAGCCTTATGTATAACAATGGTTTAATCTGCAACCAATCGTGGGGAAGGTGCAAGAGCGAGCAGCGAGAAGAACTAGATGGTGCCTGGCTACCACCAGTGACCACCCTGACAGGGAACACAACAGAGAGTCCCTGATGGAGCAGGAGAAGAGTGGGGCACAGAACTCAAATTCTAGTAAGAAGACCAGACTTAATGGTTTGATTGAGACTAGAGGGACCCTGTAAGACATGGCCCCCAGACTCCCTGTTAGCCCAAAACTAAAACCGTTCCTGAAGTCAACTCTTCAGACAAAGATTAGACTGGACTATGGGACATAAAATGATACTTGTGAAGAGTGTGCTTCTTAGCTCAAGTAGATACATGAGACCAAATGGGCAGCTCCTGTCCGGAGGTAGGATGAGAAGGCAGAAAGGAACAGGAGCTGGTTGAATGGACACGGGAAATCCAGGGTGGAAAGGAGTGTGCTGACACGTTACAGGGATAGCAACTAGGATCACATAAGAATGTGTGTATAAATTTTTGTATGAGAAACTAACTTGAATTGTAAACTTTCACTTAAAGCACAGTTAAAAAAGAAAATAAGAGCAGGCAGTGTTTTGTTCCATTGTGCACGGGGTCACCATGAGTTGGGAACCGACTGGACAGCAGCTAACAACAACAACAAATCTAGAGTACAGAGGACATAGGAGATCCGTATGTTTAAAATCAGCAGTTTCCTGAGAAGGACTTCCAGGTAGTGAAGGCAGCTGCATAGGAGTACCTGGTCTTTTTCTCCCCCACATTCATCTCTGTCTTGTCTCCTTTGAGGAGGAACCAAATAATCATACCCCACTACAATAAGTATTTTATAAGTATTCCTCATTTTAGCCTTGCACCAGTCCAAGGAAGTAATTATGGTTGTCATCCCCACTGAGCACAGAGAGGTTAAGTCACTTGCCCAAGGTCCTCCCAGCTTGCAAGCAATGGAGCCAGGATTTAAACCCAGGCTTTTAGCTCCATTGTTACTGTATTTTTCTTGAATAACATCACTAAAGAGAATATAATTTCAAACATGTTTATGAAAGACTTAAAAACCTTCCACAAGTAAAATGAAAAGCAGGTTGCCTACTTTCTGTATCCCAGTAGAAAATTAAAACAAAGAAAACATATTGCCTAT